ATGAGGTCTCGCTGCCCAGGCGGGTCTCGAACCCACAGGCTCAGGCGATCCACCCACCTCGGCCTCTCAAAGGCGCGGGATTACAGGCTGAGCCACCGAGCCCGGCTTACTAAGAAATTCTTGAAAGTTGTAAGAGAAGTCTTTGAGAGCAGAGCAGGAACAACTGTCAGTATGGGCTCTGGAAGTTCCATGAACTAAAATGAACTAACTCCATGACCTGGTCATTTCTATGCTTCAGTTTTCTTATCTTTAAAAAAGATAATGGCCATGGCTCAGTCTGTAATCCCAACACTTTGGGAGGCCGAAGTGAGTGGATTGCATGAGGCTGCAGGTTTGAGACCAACCCAGATAACTTGGTGAGACCCTGTCTCTACAATAAATCAAAAATAAGCAGGGCATGATAGAGCGTGCCTGCAGTTCTGGCTATTGGAAGGCTGAGGTGGAAGGATTGCCAGAGCTGGGTGGGTCGACACTGGGGTAGCCGTGAGTGTGCCACTGCACTCCAGTCTGGGTGACGGAGTGAGACTCCAACTCAAAAAAAAAAAGATAATAATTGTGGATACATCATAAAAGATCTTATTAAAATGAGTTAATATTTGTATAGTCTTAGAGCACTGCCAAACACATATTAAATGGTATAAAATTTGTTAATATGTATTTATACAGGATTTCTTCTAACTCACTGATACACATCTACTGAAAAATATCTGTCCTGTTTCTCCATTTGGATGATAATGGCCAAGTAGACAGACTTTATTAGCAGTCTTTAATATTTACCACAGTGAGCATAGGCTTGTTATATAGAAGTTACTCAATAAATACTGGTCATTTACTTATTAACTCATATTCAAAATATTGAACTGTCCCTTAAGAAGCTACTACCATTCACATCCTCCCAACAAAAGTTTTCTAAATTAAAACATTTGTTTTTTATGTCTAAAAAGTAGACATTTGCATATATAGAATCATTTTATAGAGAATATGAATTGTTTAATCCAATATTATGGTTAGTAAACTCATTTTGCAAGACAATTATAAACATTCTAAACTTTTAATGATTCTGTAAACTACTTGTTTGCTTAGAGTAGACTTGTTTTTAAAAAGAATACTTACTCAGGGTTTGTTTTTAAACATTCATACCTTTGGCTTTTTAGAACTGGAAATAGTAGTATTTTTCTCTTGTTCCTGAGAATCTTCACATTTGTCCAAAGTGATATGTCGTTTTTTAGAGGAATCTGAAACATTTTTTATTATGGATTCTGAAGTTGAGGGCACTTTCATCGACATACTAGACTTACTGATATTTTCACCAGGTTTTATAACATGAAAATCCATCTTTTCTTTTCTGTTCAATTGGGCAGCCTTCCTTCTGTTACACAGCATTTGGCACAGAATAAAGGAAATGGTTAATTTAGCATTTTTAGCACATATAATCTTCATGTGTTCAATTGTTTTCATGACTTTCATAATGTGGGCCATTTTTCCTAAATCTTTTTGAGGGGCAGACATTATATTTTTGAGCAGTGTAGAAAACTGATTGTAGTTGTATTCTAACTCTGTCACAGTGCTGCCATAATTTATGGATGCTATACATGGCACAAAGTCAATATATGTGGAAATGGAATACTTGGACTTCTTTAGAAGCTTTTTTATTTCTGTAAGCTCTTCAAGTTCTCTTGAGAGCAAATGAAGAGCGTATGAGCTGTTAACAGCTTCATCATATTTGTAGATAATATCCAGATCTTTGTTAAGTTCAGAAATAGCAGACTCTATCATTTTCCAAAGGCAAACATTTGTTGTGTTACCTTTAAGAAATGAAAAAGAAGTCATTTTTTCTTGGCAGTGAACCAGCTCAGGGAGGAGTGACAAATCAAACCAAAGCATACCTCGCAACCTCTGTTTGTCTAGTTTCTTTGCTATCAAGTTTTTCAGAAAGTGAACCGTTTCTGAGACCATGACAACTTCAATATATATTTCAATAGCTTCAGGTTTTAAAATCACAGATCCATGGTTGTGGTTTTTCATCATATCCAAAACGTTTTCTTCTGTGATAAAAATATTATCTATGTTATCTTCTTGTAGCATCTGAAAGTATTTTTTTAACATTTCTAAGTGATCTGTACATCTCAAGGTGAGATCCTGTAATCTGTTAAGGTCTGCAAATTCAGCTTGATCTAGTATTTCACTAATACAACATATATCTGGGTGTGAAAACAAAGTACTGTTAAACCTGCAATTTTCTATGCCACTCGTTGCTTTGTTTGTTAGATGATCTACCTTTCCAGAAGCAATCATAGTATCCTCCTCAAGTTCAATATTAGAAACTGGTTCACTGTTTAAATCTTTAGACAAAGTATCATATATCGTCTGTAACTTAGAAAAAGCACACTGATTTATTTTGAGTAACATTTCTTTGTTCTTCTGTGAGTGCTTTTTGTTAAAAGATTGTCTTCTCTCTTTCCAAACAAGATTTTTTGCAGCATCAAAAAAAATATGTTCCAGACCATAAAGAGATATTTTAATACTTACTGCCTCATTGCTCTTGATAAAATTAACTTTTGAGGAGATCATTTCTATGATAATCCACAGATGGTCTTGTTTTCCTGGATCTGAATGAACTTTTGGAGCGTCTGCGTGTATACTGATCAGCTGTAAAGTACTTTTTCTTAAGGTTTCTAGATCGCCTAAACTATCTCCAAAGTTAACCCCACAGGTAAATGGAACAGAAAGAGAAAAATCAAAACAATCGCAACAACGTTTCATTATGGCTTCACATTCATTAATCTGTCGTTTGTATTTTAAGAATGCATAGTATGAATTATTTTCCCTTTCTGTTTCTTCAAACAATTCAATTAACTGATCATGGTAAATTTGTAACTCACAGAATGCATTATATTTTAACCTTCCTTGAAAAGCTGGATAAAAATTAGACTGCTGTTGAAATCCACGTGGTCTGCCAAGAAGCTCAGCATACAACGTCTCATCATACCAAAGCAAGCTTCGAAATGTTGGTTCACCTTCTAAGAGCCTTTTTTTATTTTCAATGAACTGAATAGTCTCCATCATCATTTGTAGTTCTACCAAGGTGTCAACAGCAGACGGTTTTAATTTGTGCTTGTAATTATTCCAAAGGTTTTGGTCTACCAACAGTTCTCTTGAAACCAAGATCTGTTCAACTGAACTTTCTTGCTTTCTTTCAAAAGCTTCAACAAACAAAGGGAGAAGATTTTGACAAACCTTGGTTTCTTCCTGTAGAATCGGCAAAGATGATGCTTCATCTGCTCTTCGCAAAATTTGAGACAGCTTAGCTATAAGGGCCGTTTGATTATCCGAGCAATGCTTTTCTTTTGATTCACTTATGTATGATGTAAGCTTCTTTGGAAGAGCACTGACTTTAGAGGTTTTAGAGTGAGCATGTAAAACAGGCATATGATTAACTCTTAGAAGGTCTGGTTTGGAAATACAGGCAATTTCTGAATGCAATGTCGAGTCAGATTTAGGATCATTACTAACTTTAATTTTCTCCTTCTTCTCGTATTTGTTAAGCTGATTAGAAACTGTGTTATTCAAAGAGACTGCCTTAGTAGTATTTTTAATGCTTACATGAGAATCAATCAAGTTATTTTTAATTGTTTTCTCATTTAAGTGGAAGGATTTTTCTAAGATCTTATTCTCTTGATTTTTGTATTCAGTCTCAACAGTTGATTCAGTCATGCTTCTTTTGTAAATGAAATCTTTTGCTTTTTCTGCTTGCTTAATTTTCCACATTTTTCTGTCCTGAATGTCTTTCTTTACAATATGTTTTTTTGAAGCAGAGCCTTTTATGTGATCTTTTAAGAGCAGAGAACTGCCATCTGAAGCTAGTTTCATTATATTTTCCCCATAACTTTTACTTTTTTCAGTTATTGATGCTAGATTCAACTCAGAATTCTCTGTAGTATTTGCTTCATTCCCACCTGTATGGAAGCAATTAATTGAAGAGCATTGTTCTGTCCTTAGAAGTTCCTTTCCACCACATCTCTGCTGATAGTGTGATACAGTAGATGCTTCAACAGAATCTACAGTGAACATTCTCTGTTTATCCAAGTAAGATTTTGAAGATTTGTCCTCAGTATCTGTCACCTCAGTGACTGATAACAATGGAGGAATACTATACTTTTTGCCTGCCAACAAAGTTAGGGTTAAAGGGTTCATAAATAATTTTCCTGTAATGGCGCTTCGTTTGGAGCTCTCAGTAGGAGCTGTCCACTTTTCCATAGGAAAATTTACATTCGGGTTTCTTTCACAACCAGACAGAATGAGGTTATCTTGTTGGTAGATATCAACATTTAACAAGTGCTCCACATTTGATTCTAAGACTGAAATAAGTAAGTCAGTTTTCACCTCTGTACAAGGTATACAAGTTGCATCATAACTTTTGTCTGAGTTATAACTCGTGTTTTCTTTTATGCAACTTAAAGATCCTGAATTACTTTCATTTATTACTTCATCTGTCTCATAACTGTTTTCTTTTGCTGCATCCTTAATATTATTATGTGCTGAATGGTTCTCAAGCTTTTCACATTTATTAATGTTAGATGAAAACTTTATATTAATTTGATTTTCCTTTTCAATTAATTTCTCATCTAAGCAGTTTGGAGAAAGCAGAAACCCAGTTTTTCTAGAAAAGGGCAGAAGTTCTGATGATTGAGGATTTCTCATACTGTTATTATAAGCTGACAGACTTGTACTTTGAGATGTGGAAGATAGGGGCAACTGTGATTCAGGGTGTTGTTTTTGATCACAAAATTCTCTCTCTTGAATAGTGGAGTGACTTTTGGAGACACTGCTAGCCATGCTTTTCTTGGAAAGGCAATTTGTGATTTTCTCTTCATTTGTTTTGTAAGACTTGTGCTTTGATACATGGGTTGACGACTTAGCACCAACAAAGCTTAAAGTTCTTTTCTCTCCCTGTTTGTCATGATTTCTTTTTGACAAAAAATGCTCAGTAGGATGTTTTCTTTGAGATACAGAACTATACCCTTGGAGGTCACAGCTTTCCCAGAAATTATTGCATATTATGGCGTATGATTTTGGTAACGGGCCCTTTCTTTTTTCTCCGACTTTAGTTATAAGCTGTAAAGACGTATGAACTCTTCTGTGAGCTTTTTTTAAGTGAATAACAGCTTTGTCTAGTTTTCTAGAAAGACATTTGCTTTTGCATAAGGATGCTTCACTATTTAGAATATCCAGGACACTCCTAATGTGCTTTTCTGACTGTGAAAATGTTTTTATTCGTCCTTGGGATAATGAAGAAAAACACTCAGATGAATTTTGACTGGCTAGCCTCCTCTTTTTCCCATAAATTTTATACTGTTTTAAATCTTTAAGTGATATGTTCTCAGCCCTAGAAGATGTATGTAGCTTTCTTTTGCTAATTCTTGATTCTTTCTCCTTTTTACTTTTGGTATCATCACAGTCAGATTTTGATTTTGTAAAGGAACATCTGCTTCTATCATTTATTGGTGTAACATAAGGAGGTTCAGTACACAAAGATTCACTGTTTTGATTTTCAGACATTTGAGTCACATGTGCATTGTGACTCAAGTCAAAAGAAAGGGAAATTTCATTTTTACTCACTAGTTCTGATCCTTGCCTTATATTACCAATTTTATCTTCACATGGATCATTTGAATTTTCACCAAAAGGCTGAGAAATTTCAAATCCTAGAGCTTCCCCCTCCTTATTTGTTTCTGGTTTTGTGGCTTCAGTTACACATGTGTAATTATCTTTAAATGCAGGGGAGTCAGCAGTGGGGCTAAATTCTGGCCTAAATATACTAGTAATTTGAATCTGTAGATCTGGAAGTAAAGCTGAGTTGAGGAGCTCTGTTTCATTTCTTTGTGTGGAGGAGTTAACATAATTACCCTCCTCAGAATCATGCTGATTATTCTCCCTTCTTGTGGTGCTTTCCAAAACTCCCATATCCCCATTATTGCTTCCTGATAGATCTTTCCAATTTATACGAGACTTCAGAGCCTCATATAAGGCCTCAATTTCTTCATAAAGTACACTTCCATGGCTATATGCATCTTGCTGAAACAGAAAAGCATCATCACACTCTTCTGTTTCGACTTCAATCTCACTTCCCAATTCGAAATTCTGAGGAACTGAGTTATTTATTGACTGATGAAATGATTCTTGTAAGTTACTTTTATTCATATCAATTTCACAATCAGAAGTCCTATGTTTTACTAGCAAGCCAAAATCTCGGCATTCAGAAGAACAAGTTACTTTAAAATGGTTTCTTTGGTGATCTTCATGATTTATGATTAATGTAGGCATAGTACTAGCTGTCTGTACTGCAGCATTTGAGACTGTACTCACTGAAGAACTTGCAATTTTGGGAAAGGTTATAGAAGCCAATTGCTCCACACTTCTTCCAGTATTTTCAGTATCTTTTTGTTTTATGGCACTAATGGTATTTTCATTCTCTAATAATGCAGTTTCTGTTGATATGCATTTTTCTCCCCAAATCAAGTTAAATGTAGAAAATTCTTCAATACTCAGAAGGTCTACATTGTTATAATTTCTATTCTCCCTCCTTTCATCTTTATTGGTGAAATTGTTGTGCTTTTTGTCTTCATATATATTTTCTATGTTGTTTTCTGGAGATAAAGCACGATCCTCCTCTTTAGCTTCATTTTGGCTTTCTTTTTCATTACCTCTCTGTTCTTTGAAATTAACACTCAGGCATGTATCATTGTTTAACTGTGCATTACAGAATAGAGTGTGATCTTCATCTTCATTTCCAATATAAAGACTTTCTTTGCAGTCTCTCTGAATGTTCTCTAATGACACGGGTTTATTTTCATTTTTTCTATGGATACACATATGTTCTCTAGTTATATGGCAATTTGAATTGTCACGAGCTGTTTCGATGTCATGAGATGAAATAACTGTATCAATGATCATTTCTTTGGTGCGAGGGGTGTCTTTTGCTTCCTGGAAAGCATTATTCATGATACTAACACAATTCTGATTTATTTTTTTCAACTTCGGTTCCATTAGTTTTTGAGCAATGGCAAAACTTGTATGAATGTTATTTTCATACTCTGTAGAGTATTGAGGATGCTTTTGTAAAAGGCTTTCTACACCTGGAGTGATTTGTAGTTCTAATGTTAGATGATCTAGTTCATCCTTATCCTTTGTGGCAGATGTGGAAGATTTAGGTATTTCTAACTCCTCAGTAATTAATACTTTATCACAGTTTTTTCTCAAGTAATCAAGACTGTCACCCTCTTTGTTTTTTTGGTGTGAAGAAATACAATTATCTATTGGACTGATTTTTGTTTCATTAGTGAACTCATTATCAATTTCTTTCCACAAAGTTTGTTTTTCTCCATGCTTGGAATTGTCTTCTGGGTCAGTGCAGTTGCTCATCTTTCCAATATTTTGAATGTACTCATCTATGCTTGCTTTATTTTGGAGAGGAAAAGGTATAGATATTTGGTTATCAGTCTGATATACAGTTTCAGAATTAGAAAACTGTGATTCCTGAGAGATGTGATCATTGTACTCGTTTGTATAAGCATTCACTGACTTGTAAGAGTGATGTGGCTCATTGCTTTGCTCAATTAAAAGTGGAATATTACTTCTCTTTGAGGCTTTTTTCTCACTGTGTTTTTCATTCTCAACTTCTGAAACTACATTTGACAAAGAAATTGGGAAGGAAAAATTGTCTTGGTCCTTACACTGTCCTTCCATGGTAATGTTATTGGGAACTGTACAAACATAGTCCTTAGAGCCCATGCTCTGAGATAGTGAATCATCAAAAGAAATTTTAAAGCAAGGGGCATCCGAACAATTAGTAAGAACAGTATGATCATCAGGGATGACTCCTGATGACGGAGAATTAGTTGGCACAGGTGGCAGGTTTATTTCTGAATTCACATAATCTAAACTCTTCTCAAATGGCAAAATCTCATTTAAACCTGGAGAATTATTCTGTTTTCCCATACTTTCTTCTCTCCTCATCAGTCTTGGGTCTTTGATGATTTTTGAAGTGATAACTGTGGTTGAGCCAATGTTGTGAAGAGGTAAAGCATCAGAAACACTACTTAAAACATTTTTAAGATATGTCAAATTTATCAACAGGTCATCATTAACACTTTCTTTGGTATCACTGGCCATAAATGAAAGACCTGAATCATGTGCATATACTTGAGAAGTATCTGTAATTTCTGCTAAATTGTGTTCTGTCTGTCCGCTGTATGTTTCAAGTATAGAAATGTTTCCATTTTGCACATTTCTATAGGAGTTAGAAACATCTGAGTTGGAAGGATTTATCTCTGAATTTAGTTCATCACAGGAACAGTTTTCCTGAACAAATGGATCTACAGGTTTCCTGAAATGCTCAAAGATAACAGTAGCATCTTTTCCTTTTCCAATTCTTTTGGCCACTGTACAGTTACTCAGAGAGCATGTTCTTTCTGTGGAAATAACAAGAAAAATTTAAAGAAAAAATGTTTCTGCAGCAACTATTAATACAAGGAAACTATGTCAGGAGTGATTTTAATGAAAGCTAATCTAATAATGATCAAAACGTGTTATCAGCAGAAAAAGCAAAGAGAGAAGAGGATGAGTAACAAATCAATGAAATATAAATTATGTAGCATAAAACTATGTCCTACTCTAGAAAACCTAAGTGTATTTGCCATAAAAATTCTGACAAATAAGAAATAGAAAAAAATTAAATAAAAATAAAAACATTTTATCCAAAGACTAGGGATTTCTTATATAAATTTCCTATATTCAGATATTTAATAACAGCATCTACATATTAGTAGACAACATTGTTTCCCTCTATCTACTGATGACCGGGCTTCTTGTTCCTTTACCATGGGAGAACAAAAAAGGAAAGGAAAAGGGAATAAGGTGAAAAAGTAGGAAAATAAAAAACCGAAAAGTTCCATAAAATTTTTCTTAGGAGCCAAAGCAAACCATTATCCCCCTCCCATAGTAAAATAAGTATTCCTGCGAAATAACATATGTGAACAAATACCTGAAAAATAAAAGTAAATTTTTAAATAATTAAAAAAAATTTATTCCTAAATTTCATAAAGAACCTCATGTGTTAATGAAAGAACTTATAAAAATGCATATTTAACAAGTAAATAGGCCTAACATGGTGGTTCATGCTTATAATCCTAATACTTTGGAAGGCCGAAGTGGGAGGGAGGATCATCCACTGAACAGAGGAGTTCAAGATCAGCCTGGGCAACATAGTGAGGCCTCAGACAAACAAACAAACAAAGCCAGGTGTGGTGGTGTGTGCCTGTATTCCCAGATACTCAGAAGGTTGAGGCAGAAGGATCACCTGAGCCCAGGAGTTCAAGGCTGTGGTGAGCTATGATCGTGTCACTGCACTGCAGCCTGAGTGACAGTGAGACTTTGACTCAAAAAAAAACAAAAACCAAAACATCAATAACAACAAAAAAAGTAAATAATTTCTCACAAAGTTTTCACAAAACAGCCACAGCTAAGTAACATCTTAAAAACATCTTTACTAAAACAAATTATCAATGAGAAATTGCTTGAGATTTATAAGCTATATAAAGTCCCTATCATAATACTGAGTAGTACCATAAAGTTCTTTTTCATAATATGAGAGCTATTTGAAAATTTCTAAATACGGCCACCTATGATTTATTTTACTAATTAGAGTAAGCTCTAGTGGAAATATGAACACACACAAAGAAACAGTTTTAAAGGATGGGATTATAATGGAAAAGAAAAAGGAAAGGCAGACCTCTACAATTCCTGCTACCAACATATAAAATTCACTATAAAAAAAATAACTATAAGAAAAACATTAACTAAGTGTGGTGGCGTGGGTCTGTAGTCCCAGCTAGAAGGATCGCCTGAGCCCAGAAGGTCAAGGCTACTATGAGCCATGCTCATGCCACTGTACTCTAGCCTGGGTGACAGAGTAAGACCCTGATTCAAAAAACAAAACAAACCAAAAATAAAAGTAATAGAACAAAACATGGATGGATTTTTTTTCATTATCTTGGGGTAGGAAAGTACTTTTTAAGCATGACTGAAAATCAGAAAACACAAAAGAAAAAAAAAGATGTCAATAACATATAAATAAAATATTTTAAAATGACAAAATGCATGATAAACAACAAAACTCAATGAGTAAAACTGATAAGATTGGCAACAAACACAAAAAGATGCCCAACCTCACTAAGTAAGCAATAAGATCCATTTAAAAAAACTTTTTAGATTGGCAACAATTTTTTTCCCCCATAACACCTGGCCAATTTTAAAATTTTTTGTAGAGAGAAGGACTCACTATGTTGCCCAGACTTGTCTTGAACTCTTGGGTGCAAGCAATCCTTCCTCCTTGGCCTTCCAAAGTGCAGGGATTAAAGGTGTGAGCTGCCATGCCCAGCCTCGAGTACTGTTTTAAGTGCTTCATGTACATTAATCTAATCTTCACAACATTTTCATTTCATTTATGAGAAATAAAATTAACAGTAATTTTCCCAGGATCACACAATTTGTAAACAGTAGAAACTCAATCACTTTGTTAAGCAGTCTCTTTAAACTTACCAGTGACGCTTTTACTTCCATTTTTTTGGCATTCTTACCAAATGACAATTAAAAATTGGAGAACAAATTCAACATCTTCCATAAAATAAGAAAACTAATAAAATCAAATTGCAATCAGTGAAGTACACTACCAGTTATTAACACCATATACTTGGTGATAATGGAAATGATATCTGTGCTGTCTGTACAATATGGTAGACATTAGCCATACATGGCTACTGAGCACTTGAAATGTGCCTGGTGTGACTAATGAATTTATAATTTTATTTAATTTAAATTTAAACAGGTGCATGTGACTAGTGGAGACTGAATTAGGTAGTGTAGATCTAGAGTATGTACTCCAGAGAGAGATGAGTGTGCTAATATTCGACAGGTGTGGCTTTAACTTTGGGCCTATAGTAAGTTTTCCCTAAAGTTCATCATCCTAAAAGGCATCATCCTTTGATTAAAAGTAGTAAGCAATAAAAAACCATAGACAGGCTGGAATAGAAGTGGGGAAAGGTCCATATCTATTGTCTCTAATATAAGCCATCTAGCTGAGGGAAAATGTGGACAGAACTACTAGGCAGAAGATCATCAAGGAAATGGAAGACTTGAACAAACAATAAACCAACCAGACCTAACAGTTATGCATAGAACACTATACTCAACAACAGCAGAATATAGTATAGTCCGCCCTCTGTATTGGTGGGCTCCACATTCGTGGATTCAACCAACCAGGTATCAAAGATACATTATTTAAAAACCTAATAAAAATAACACAATAGGAAATAATACAAATAAAAAATATGACGATTTATATAGCACTTATAATGTATTAGGTATTATAAGTAATCTAGCAATGATTTAAAGTATATGGGAGAATATGTGCAGGTTATATAGGTTATATGCAAATACTGTGTCATTTTACGCAAGGAATTTGAACATTCATGAATTCTGGTATCTCATGGAGGTCCTGGAAGCAATCCCTGCATAAATCTGAAGAACAACTGTATATTCAGTTGCACATGGATCTTTCTCCAAGAAAGACTATATGCAAGCTTATAAAACAAATCTAAACAAACTCAAAGGATAATACAAACTACGGTACCCCACGTCTTAAAAATAATTTTTTTTTTAAAAAGATAATATAAACTGTTCTCAAACCACATAGAGTGAAATTAGAAATCAGTAACAAAGAAACTTAGGAAATTCACAAATACATAAAAAAAACAACATAGTCCTAAAAAATCAATCAAAAAAGAAACCAACAGGGAAATTAGAAAATAATTTGAGATAAATGAAAATGATTACACAACATACCAAAACTTATGGGACAAAGCTAAAGCAGTGCTTCTGGAAATTTATAGCTGTAAATGCCTGTATTAAAAACGAAGAAAGACCTCAAATCAATAACCTAACTTTCTACCCTATGATATCAAAAAAAGAAGAGCAAACCAAACCTAAAGCAAACAAAAGGAAAGAAACAAAGATTACAGAAGAAGTTAATGAAATGGATGATAGAATAGTGGGAAAAAGAATAAAAACAAAGTTGCTTCTTTGAAAATAGCCAATAAAGTTGACAAACCTTTAGCCAGACTGACCAAGAAAGTGAAAGAAGACGCAAATTAGGAGTCTCAGAAATGAAAGAGATGACATGACTACAGAACTACAGACAACACTATAAAGGAATTTTATAAGCAAATGTATGCCAATAAACTAGGTAAGTGAGATGAAATGGACATTTTTTTACAAAGACAGAAACTCCTAAAACCTATGCAAGAAGAAATAGAAAATCTAAATAGACTTATGCAAAAAGAAAAATCCTAGCCCAGATGTCTTCACTAGTGAAGTCTACCAAATGTTTAAAGAAGAATACCAGTTCTTCATAAACCCTTTCAAAAAAGCAAAGAACACTTCCCAATTCATTCTATGAAACCAATATTGCCCTGACATCAAGACCAAAGACACCATAAAAAACTACAAGCAATATCTCTTATGAATATGGACACAAAAATCTCCAACAAAATTGCAGCAAACCAATTCCAGTAATAGAAAATGAATTACAGATCACAATCAAATGGTATCCCAGGAATGCTAGGTTTGTTTAACATCTGAAAATTAATTAATGTAATATACTGCATCAATAAAATAAAAACAAAAAAACTCAAGATCTCAACAGATGCAGAAAAAAAACCTGACAAAATCCAACACCCTTTCATGATAAAAACTCACAAAAAACTAGGAATAGAAGGTAACCCCAACACGATAAAGGGAACTTATAAAAACCCTACAACTTATATCATACTTAGAGGTGAAAAACTGTATGCTTTTCCCCTAAGTTCAGGAACAAGACAAGAATGTCTGCTCTCCTCATTTTACTTCCTAGAGGCACTAACCAAGACAACCAGACAAAAGGAAAGAAAAGGCATCCAGATTGAAAAGAAAAAAGTAAAATTATCTCTATTCACAGACGGCATGATGTTATATAAAAGAAAATCCCAGAGAACCCACTAAAATAACAATCAGCACTAATAATGAGTTCAGCAAAGTTGCAGGATACAAGATTATACAAAAATCAATTTTATTTCTGTACATTTATGATAAGCAATACACACATGAAATAAAGAAAAAATTCCATCTGACAGCATCAAAAATAATAAAATACTTAGGAAAAGCAAAATACAACAACAATAAAATGCCACACCTACTAGTGTAGGAAAAAAACCAGAACAAAAACACAATATACATGAAAAAAGTCTGACAATACTAAGTTTGATGTGAATACTATGGTCCTCAACCTCATTAATTAGGAAGATGTAAATGGAAACCACAATGAGATAACACATCACACAGTCATTAGACTGGCAGGAAGCAAAGTGTATGGCAAAGATACAGAGTGACTATGTAACCTGATGTAACCACTTTGAAAATCCATTTGACACTGTATTTGGTTTATCTTGCACATTCCTCTTGTAAATATGAACTCCATAGAAAAATTCTTGCACATATGCACTAAGATACTTATACAAATGTTTGAAATAGTAGTGTTTGGAATAAGAAGAAAACTGGAAAGTGCTCAAATATCCTAGGTAGAATAGTGTATAATGTATTCACACAATGGAATACTCTCTCCATCCATTCATCTACTCATCCACGAAAATGAATAAACTACTGTTATACATATCAACATGGAAGAATCACGCAAACATAATACTGAGCAAAATAAGTCACAAAAATATCTGTAGTAGGATTTTGGATTTATAAACTAAAAAACAGGTAAAACACAACTAATCTGCTTAGAGATTAACTACGCATTAGAAAATAATGTTCAGAAATTTCAAGACCAGCACAAATGCCAACGTAGTAGAATCACTTACCAGCTCTCTTAGGAAATCCTGTTGAGAGGAATCTCAAAGATGTCATAAGCTGTCCATTATCTACTTTTAAACCAATAAATCTTACTGTTACTACTGCATATGGAAGGCATTGCCTAGGTTTTTCTACTGGCTTTGAAAGGTCATCGTATTCATAAAAGTATACCTGAAAGGTAAAGAAGAAAAAAATAAATAAACAGGTTTATGCTGGCAATTAGACTTGTAAGATGATTGATTACAATTTACATATTTAACTATATAACTGCATGATGTTATCTACCTCCATATACTCCCTCTTGCTGCCTTCTTCAACCCTAGTTTTCTTGAAAGTGTATAAAATTTTCCCTACCACATTTTTCTGATAGGTTACCAATGTTGTCAGAAACAGACACAATTTATTATTATTATTATTTTTCTTTTCTTTCTTTTTTTTTTTTTTTTTTTTTGAGTTGGAGTCTCACTCTGCCACCCAGACTCGAGTGCAGTGGCCACTCCCGGCCACCACAGCCTCGACCTGCTGGGCTCCAGCGATCCTTCCACCTCAGCCTTCCAAGTAGCTGGAACTACAGGCACGCGCTACCACGGCTGGCTAGTTTTTGATTTATTGTAGAGATGAGGTCTCACCAAGTTGCCCAGGTGGGTCTCGAACCCGCGGGCTCAGGCAATCCACTCACCTCGGCCTCCCAAGGTGTGGGATTACAGGCTGAGCCACCGAGCCTGGCTATTTTTATTTTCTAAAGATGTGAGGTACAATTCAGGGTTAGGTATACAGATGTTTATTATACAGGTATCACTCCTGATAAGTTTTTTTTTTTTTTTGAGTTGGAGTCTCACTCTGTCACCCAGGCTAGAGTGCAGTGGCAGGCACACTAACAGCCACCCCAGCATCGACCGGCTGGGCTCCGGCAATCCTTCCACCTCAACCTTCCAAGTAGCCAGAAGTACAGGTGCATGCTACCTCGCTCGGCTAGTGTGCCGGGACTGGTCTCGAACCCCTGGGCTCAGGCAATCCACTTGCCTCAGCCTCTGAAAGTGCTGGGATTACAGGCTGAGCCACCAAGCCTGGCCTGCAATTTATTTTTAAATACAAATTATTTTTCCGTTAAAAGTTAAATGTTTTGCATATACGCTCAATCATTTTATTTGATAGGAAAATAACAATAGCCTAATTATATTTTATATGTAGGAGCATGCATGTACTTTTATATAGATTCATCCTCAGTTATATATAGGATTACAAATCTATATGTAATATTCTATAAAATTAAAGGTCCACAAAACATCTAAGTGAAATATGATAGAAGATTACTGTTTCACCTAATAACTAAACATAAACTTTTTCTTCTTTTCACCTTTTGCAAAGTACAAAGGACCAAAATATTGTTTCAAAATAGCCTTATTTTAAAAATGAATATTATTTATGATTAATAAATCAAAACTGTATATATATGGGGTACAATGTGATGTTTTGATATATGTATATAATGAAGAGTAATAAATCAAGGTAATTAACATATCCATCACTTCACCTATCATTTTTTATGGTGAAACATTAAATATACTCTCTCAGCAAGTCTGAAATATGCATTATTATGGACTATGGTCATCCTGCTGTGCAGTCTTGTTTAAGATAAGTTGGTACATTCTGCAAAATGGAAATTAATCTATGGAACATCTAAATAAAAGTAGCCACTGTGCTTTGAAGAGTTAAATGTAAATTTTCAATCTTCTTTATTAATATTCTCAAACAAAGCATATTAAAATAGCTTTCACTGCTTGTTTATTTAAGATCATATCATACGGAATTAAAAGATTTTCATTTAATATTTTGGGAATTAGTTTTAAGTCTTGAATCATACAATGTGAAGCATGTGACTTTCAAGAAATCAAATGAACCATGTTAACATACTGCAGAACTGTAGGCTTGCAGCTCAATGGTATCTTTCAAAGAAGGTATACTTCTTGACATATGGCAATCAAAATTAGGAGAAGGATCCAAAGAAACTTTATTTTTATCCACAGAAGGTTGAACTTTCTTCACTCTTCCAAAGAGAACCTAGGGAAGAAAAAAGCAACAACAACAAAAAAGTTCATAAGAATATAACAAAACACTTTTAAACTTTCACTTTCTAAAGAGAAAAGTAATGAATGGAAAGATCATTCATTTTCTGGATGAATGGGATGAAAAACATGGTAATATCAATTCTTTGCCAAGTTAAATTCTAAGATTAGAGTCATTCTAATAAAATTTTCAGAAAATCTCCTTTTAACAATTAGTTTTAGTCAACAAACTTCCTGAAAGGCAAATTAAACAATAACTCAGATTTTTTAAAATTTAGGTTAGAAATAGAAAATGATGGAATAGGAAGGAGACCTGCAATTCTAGATGTAATAATATTTTGCTTATGCCTATCATAAGAAAAGGCAGAAAAAGACTGGGTACAGTGTCTCATGCCTATAATCCCAGCACTTTGGGAGGCCAAGGTGAGAGGATTTCCTGAGCCCACGGGTTCGAGGCCAACCTGGGCAACTTGGTGAGATCCCATCTCTACAATAAACAAAAAAATAAAATGGTCAGGGTAGTGTGTGCCTGTAGTTCTAGCTACTTGGAAGGCTGATGCAGAAGGATCGCTAGAACTCAGCCACTGCCCTCCAGCCTGGGTGACAGAGTGAGACTCCTACTCAAAAAAAAAAAAAAAAAAGGCAGAAAACCAAACAAAAGCAGATTGAAATAAAAAGCCCAGAAGTCCACATATGTATAAACAAAATTTAAAATACGGTAGATTATTAAAGGTACTGCTTGAAATAAGTAAAGTAATGATAAGTTATTCAATTAATTAACGGTGTGACCAAGATACCTAACTCCAGTCAGGATGGCCATTATAAATAACTCAAAAAACCACATGTGTTGGAAGAGGATGCAGGGAAGAGGGAATGTTTCTACTCTGTTGGTGGGAGTGTAAACTAATAGAATCTCTGTGGAAAACAGTGTGGTGATTCCAAAAAGATCTAAAAGGCAACCTTCCATACTACCCAACAATCCTCCTTCTGGGAATATACTTAGAGAGACTCAATTCATCCTATAAAAAAGATTCCTGCACATGCATGTTTACTGCAGCTCTATTCACAATAGCAAAAACATGGAACCAACCATGCTGCCCATCAAAAATGGACTGGATAAAAATAAAACAAACATGATACATATACACAATAAAATAGTATGCAGCCACACAGAGGACAAAATTATAGACTTTGCAGCAACTTGGATGGATTTAGAGTCTATCATACTCAGTGTTCTATTACAGAAACAAAAAACTGAGTATCACATGTTCTTACTTATAAGCAGACCCTGAATATTTATCATAACACTGTAAGAAAGGGTTTGGCAGTAGCAGAACGCTGCTGAGGGTGGGGGGAGGGGACGGCAGGGCACATAACATCAATAAGGGTCCCTTGATCTCAAACCAGGCAAAGCGGGGACCAAAGCGAGGCCCATACTTTATTTGTACAATGTCCACTTATCTACCTAATCCTGAATTGTACCCTACATCTTAAAAAAAAAAAATCAGTGGTGTGGTACAACAGAAAAAAATAATTCCTTCTTTTTTTTTTTGAAAGCAGGATTTATTGAGAAAACAGAAAAGCTCCCACAGTGGGAGGGGGTTGCCCAAAGTGCCTTTCTTAATCTGTAAACCAAAATAAATATTAAACAAGTTAAATATTTACATATTCAAAACATAATGAAAATATTGTGAAAGACATGCAAGCAAATATTTACCCAATCTAACAGTGAGAAGGCTTTTCCAATATGTGTCAGAAAACATGAAACACCTTTGGGAGGCTGAGGTGAGTGGATTGCCTGAGCCCGCAGGTTCGAGACCCGCCTGGGCAGCGAGACCTCATCTCTACAATAAATAAAAAAATCAGCTGGGCGTGGTAGCGCATGCCTGTAGTTCTGGCTACTCGGAAGGCTGAGGCGGAAGGATCGCCAGAGCCCAGCAGGTTGAGGCTGCGGAGGCCGGGAGCGGCCACTGCACTCCAGCCTGGACGACAGAGTGAGATTCCAACTCAAAAAAACAAACAAAAAAACCAAAAAAAAAAACATGAAACAAAAACATAAACTTCACAATATAATATTTTAAAATTTCTGTACATAAAAAAAGATTATAAAATTAAAAAAACTGAAACTGTGAATATAATTAAGTGACAAAAGCTGAGCCAGAAGAAAATGTAATGGAACATTACCAAGGTACACATTTTATACAGTCAGCATTCTATTACCATTATTGTCTTTTAAAAAAATTACCATTATTTTTAATAGGTTAATACATTACTCAAAAGTCAAAACAATACTAAATATAATGTAATATCTTGGACTGGATCCTGAAACAGAAAGAAACATGAGTAGAAAAATTGGCAAAAGCCAACTAAAGTCTCTAATTTACTTATTAGTGTTATACTAATGTCAGCTTCTTAGTTTTGACAAAAGTGTCATATTTATGTAAAATGTTCACATTAGGGAATACTGGATGAATTTGTACACAGGAACCCTCTGTACGATCTTTGTAACGTTTCTGTAAATCTAAAATTATTCCAAGATAAAAAGTTTATCACAAAAATAAAAAGATTTAATGATAATATATTATACAGATAAAGGCCTAACTCTCAACATATGCTTTAATCAATTTAAAATACTGACTGGGCATGGTAGCTCATGCCTGTAATCCCAGCACTTTGGGAAGCCAAGGTAGGAGGACTGCTTGAGTCCAGGAGTTCAAGACCAGCCTGGGTAACATAGTGAAAACTCATCTCTACATTAAAAAAAATAATAATAATGCACACAAAACTATCAAAAAACAAACAAACAAAAAACTGGCAAAGGTTATGAATAGGCAATACACTAAATACAGCCAAAAATATATTAAACAGGAAAGTTTAAGCTCAGGAATAATCGTAACAAAGAAAAAAAATTAAGCCAATAATGAGAAACTATCACATAGTCAATTAGTAAAAAGTTTTTTAAAAGTACAGTACAGTATACAAATTTATTAAGTGTGTGAGTTAACAGTCATGCTCACGCATTATAGATGGAAAATTCAATTAATACAACCTTTCACAGAACTGGGCATTACATACCAAAAGTTGTAAAAATGTACATAACTTCTGACTTCTAATTTCACAACTAAGCATAAACCAATTAATTCTTAGCAAATAATCATTTGTGTGTGTAAAAATGTACCTACAAGGAAAAATCAACATAGTGTTTAGAAGTTTAAAAAAAAAAAACAACCCCAAAACTGAATAACTTATATCCTAACATCACAGAGTTTATTGGGAAAGTTTATGGTAAAAGTGTACAGTGGAATAACATGCAGTCATTCAAAAGGATATTACAGAAGGATATTTATTTAATGGCATGGAAAAGATTTATCCTGCAACCAGGGAAGAAAGCAAGTTATACAGTATAAAAAGCAAGAACAAACTTTATACATGCCTATCTATATATATGAATAGATAACTAAGTACAGATATACAACAGCAAAAAGCAAAATAATAACAAAAACCTGCGATTATTGGGTCCCTTGGAGATTTTTACTATGTCTCAAATTTTCTAAAGTCAGTATCTATTACTTTGGAACACAGAATTATGCTTAACTTAATATGTGAAGACAAAAATTAAGGATGGAGAGGGAGTACATCCAAACTCAATCCGCAAGGCCAGTGTTACTCTGATGCCAAAACCAGACAAAGACACAACAAAATAAACTGTAAGCCAACATCCCTTATAAACACAGATGCAAAAACCTTAACAAAATACTAGTAAACCAAATTCAACAATATTAAAAAGGTCATTCATCATGAGCCAGAGGGATCCATTAAAGGATGAAAGGATGGTTCAGCATATGCAAATCAACAAATGTGATATATTATATCAACAGAATCAAGAACAAAAATGTGTAATTTCTACAGATGCTGTAAAGGCTATAAAATTGAACAACACTTCACAATAAAAACTCTCAACAAATTGGATATGGAAGGAAGATACCTCAAAACAATAAAGTCCATATATGACAAACTCATGCCAAATACCATTCTAAATGGGGATCAATTGAAAGTCTTCATTAAAATCTGGAACAAGAAAAAGACACTCGTTTCACCACTTCTATTCAATATGGTTCTGAAAGTACTAGCCAGAGCAATCAGGCAAAAGACTGACGTAAAGGACATTGAAAATGGAAAGGAAGAAGTCAAATTATCTTTTTTTGCAGACAAAGGATCCTACATTTAGAGAAACCTAAAGACTTCACCGAAAAACTATTATAACTGATAAATTCAGTAAAGTTACAGGACACAGTAACAACAAACATAAATAAGTAGCACCTCAATATACTAATAGTGATCAATCTGTAAAGGAAATCAAGAGAGCAATCCCTCAGTAACAATAAAATAAAATAAAATCCAGGAATAAATACAACCAAAGAAGCAAAAAAATCTCTACAAGAAAACTATCAAACACTGATAAAAGAAACTAAAGATGACACACACAAAAATGGAAAGACAGTTCATGTTCATTAATTAGAACAATATTGTTAAAATGTTCATACTATCTAAAGCGATCTACAGGTTTCATGTAATCCCTACCAAAATACTAATGACATTCTTTACAGAAATAGAAAAAACAATATTAAAATTTCTATGAAGCCACAAAAGACCCCCAAATAGCTAAAACAATCCTGAGCAAAAAGTACAAAGCTAGAGGCATCACACGACATGACTTCAAAATGGCAACCAAAACAGCACGGTACTGGCATAAAAACAGATACATAGACCAAGGGAACAGAATAGAGAAACCTGAAATAAACCCATGCACTTAAATGCCAACTCATTTTTGACAAAGGCACAAACAAGACATAATGCAGAAAGGACAATCTCTTTAATAAATGATGCTGGGAAAACTGGATTTCCATATTCAGAAGAACAAAACTAGTTTCTATCCTTTACCATGTTAAAGAAAAAAAAAATCAAATAGATTAAAGACCGGGCACGGAGCCCCACAGGTGTGTGTAATCCCAACACTTCGGGAGGCTAAGGCAAGAGAATCACTTGAGCCCCACAAGTCTGAGACCAGTCTAGGCAAAAACCAAAAACATTAGCTGGGTGTGGTGACGCATGACTGTAGTGACAGCTACTCCAGAGGAAGTGGAAGATGTGGTGAGCTGTGATTGTGCCACTGCAATCCAGCCTAGGCAACAGAGTGAGTTCCGACTTAAAAAAAAGAAAAAGATTAAAGACAAATATAAGACCTGAAACCATGAAACTACTAGAAGAAAACACCAGGGAAATGCTAGAAGCAAAATAGACAAATGGGATTAAACCAAGCTAAAAAGTTTCTGCACCACAAAGAAAACAATCAACAGAGTGAAGAAACAAACCTCCAGAATAGGAGAAAATATCTGCAAGCTATTCATCTAACAAGGGATCAATAACCAGAATATATAAGGATCTTAAACAACTCAGTAGCAAAACCACCACCACCAACAACAAATAATATGATTTTCAAAATAGGCAAAGACCCAAGAAACATTTCTCAACATTATGAATCAAGGAAATGCAAATGAAAAAATGAGGTATTCTTACCTTGGTTAAAATGGCTTGTATTAGAAAGACAAAAAGTAATGGATGCTGAGAAAGGGGAACACCTGTTTGCCACTGTGTATAGATTAGTACAGCCACTGTAAATGGAGATTCCTAAAAAACTTAAAACTACTAGGTTGGGTGTGGTAGCTTACACCTATACTTCTAGCACTCTGAGGTGCGAGAATTGCTTGAGGCCAGGAGTTTGGGACCAGTCTGGGCAACATACAGAGATCCTGTAGCTACAGAAAAATAAAAAAAAATTAGCTGGGCGTGTTGGCAACCTGCTAGTATTCCAAGCTACTAAGGAGGCTGAAGCAGGTTTGTTTGAGCCCAGGAGTTCAAGGCTGCAGTGAACTGTGATTGCACACTGCACCCCAAGCCTAGGCAACAGAGTTAAGATCCTGTCTCTAAAACAAACACACACAATGAAAAACAGAACTAGCACATGATCCCATGATCCCACTTCTGGGTATATCTAAAAGAAAGAAAAATCAGTATACAGAAGAGATATCTGCACTCTCATGTATATTGCAGTATCATTCATAACAGCCAAGATATGAAATCAACTCAAGTGTCCATCAATGAATGGACAAAATGGATAAACAAAATGTGGGATATACATACAATGGAATATTATTCAACCTAAAAAGAGGAAAATTCAGACATATGCTACAACATGGATGAATGTTGAAGACATTATGTTAAGTGAAATAATCCAGTTACAGAAAAAGACAAATACTGTATATTTTAACTTATATGGGGTGCTTAGGGGTAGTAAAAATCATACAGATAGGAAGTAAAATGGTGGTTGCCATGGGATGTGGGAAGAGGGGAAATGGCAGTTGCTGTTTAATGGGCGCAGATTTTCAGTTTTCAAGATGAAAAGAGCTCTGGAGATGGATAGTTGGTGATGACTGCATAATATGAATGTACTTAAAACCACTGGACTGTACACTTAAAAACTGATAAGAGAGTAAGCTTTATGTGTATTTTACTACAATAAAGAAATTGGAAAGAAATATACATTTAGTACAGGATATTTGGAAAATGCTAATTTGGAAAACTTGAAAGAACCGAAAACTCTCTATACTGCCATGATACAAAGATTATCACTGGTAACAACTGAGTGCATTTCTTTCTGGTCTTTTATTTCTTTCTTTTTTTTTTTTGAGTTGGAATCTCACTCTGTTGCCCAGGCTGGAGTGCTGTGGCACGCTCCCGGCCACCACAGCCTCGACCTGCTGGGTTCAGGTGATCCTTTGGTGGAAGGATCAGTCCTCCAAGTAGCTGGAACTACAGGCACTCGCCACCACACTCAGATAATTTTTTAATTTATTGTAGAGATGAGGTCTTGTCAAATTATCCAGGCTGGTCTTGAACCTGTGGGCTCAGGCAATCCTCTCACCTCGGTCCCCTAAAATGCTGGAATTATAGGCATGAGCCACTGCACCTGGCCTCTGGTTTTTTCTTAATCTGTGTATTTTATATCATCTTGATGATAGTACATATTTTATTTTTAATCTTAAAATTAACATATGTGCATAAGCACTTTCCCACATCTTTAAAAACACTCTGTAAACCTAAATACAATGAATGCATTTTATACTAGAGAGAGGTGATATGTTAAGTCCATGATGTGCTACCGGACATCTAAATGGTGGCTATTTTCTTCTACTATAAGCAAGCCTTTGACATATACACATTTAAGATCTTTCCTAACGTTATCATCTTACATAGCCATGGCACAATTATCAAAATTAAATTAACACTGGTATAATACTATTAACTAAAATAAACAAGAGTTTAGTAACTTTATCTTGAACCAGAATTATTATAACATAATGCTTTAGAAGAGGGTATTTAAAACAATACTAATTATGATATGAATAACAGATTTAAAAAGAGGAGGGTCAATCAAGATAGAAAAATATATATACTGGGAAGACAAAGATGATGAAAGTTGCCTCTTCTTATGTGGAGTTTTGCTTTGTGCTGCACACCAAAGTAAAGAGCCAAAAATAGGAGAAAATTTCAAATGATGATGACAAAAATAATTACATGTGTTTAACTTGCAAAATGTAACTTAAAAACACTTATTATTTATATTGAAAGAAAAATATGTTCAGATTAATTTAAGGCAAGCTGTCCATATATTTAATATTTGTTTTATGCCACCTACCTTAAAAAGCATAATACTTTCTACAGTAATGCTTTGACTATGAGCATAATTCAAGGCAACATCAACATGTCTAAATATATAAGTTCCAAGAAGAGGATTTCCTAATATCTTCAATGTAGATGCTCCAGTACTTATCCCATTCTGATATATTTCTGCTGCATCACGCTGAGAAAGTGCTAAAAAGCAGAAATGTTCTTCAAATTCTCTGCTATGTCTTCCACTCTCACGCATCTCTGATCTGAAGCAAAACCAAATTATAGCTATAGTTAAAGTCAAATACCAACACAATTTTCAAGGAGAAGACAAATATTTTAGCCTACCATAGTTAGAAAGCAAAGAATGGACTGATAAGGTATCATTACCCTATGATAATCAATTAGGCTAAAAATCACTATAAGGAATGAATTCTAGTTACTTTTCCAGGACTTATGAGCATTATTTCATCACTAGTCTATAATAGTAAGGGCTAACATTTCTTGAATGCTGCTAATGTAACCAGTACAAAGTCTTAAGCATTACATGCATTTTGCCATTTCATTTTCAAAAATTATTATTATTGTTGTTGCTATACACATTTTTAAAATGAGGAAAATGAGGCCCAGAAAGTTAAATCTTGCAAAAGCAGCAAAGTCATAGATAGCAGGAATTACATATGTTAACTCTTGTCTGTCAGGTTCCAGATATAGATGGAGATACACACACATACAGTCAATTATTAGGGGTGTTCTCCTTTCTTGTGGGATCTAGATAACAACTGAAAGAAATAAGTTAATATTTGATTATAAACTCCTATCTTCATAGTAATAAAATTAAGAATCATCCTCAGGAAAGATTATAATCTTAAGTATAGATACTACTAATTCTGCTACTTCCATAACTAACAAGACCCATTTAAACATACAACATAGATATCCCTCCCTTAAAATGGCATATTAGCTAGGGTGTTCTATATGGCTTGCTCAGTAGCATCAGCAGCAGGAACTGCCATATCAAGTGGTACAATATTGAGGTTCAGACACTAGTGCAAAAATATGATTCTGAATGATTATCTGCAATGGAGAACCCACAGAACCTATAAAAGAAATGTATGTACCACAAAAAGAAAACTGTTCTTGAGAACCACATGCTTCCAGTATGTATTTCCTGGAATACCACTCACAAAATTTGTATATACCATGCACATAAGTGTTAATGTTTATTTTATTTTCAAGAATGGCTCACCGTTATCAGTAGATAGGACCACAAAACACATGGCAACAGTTACAATTAAAACCGACTGATTAAATCATGACCACTTTTTTTTTTTTTTTTGAGTTGGAGTCTCACTCTGTCACCCAGACTGGAGTACAGTGGCCACTCCCGGCCACCGCAGCCTCGACCTGCTGGGCTCTGGCGATCCTTCAGCCTCAGCCTCCAAGTAGCTGGAACTACAGGTGTGTGCTAATACGCCTGGCTAATTTTTGATTTATTGTAGAGATGAGGTCTTGCCAAGTTGCCCAGGCGGGTCTTGAACCCGCGGGCTCAGGCAATTCACTCACCTTGGCCTCCCAAAGCGCTGGGATTATAAGCTGAGCCACCGAGCCTGGCTACATGACCACTTCTTAGCTAGACTCAGGAATTGTCCACCTCAGCTTCTGGTTCCACATGTCAGCATTTCCTGCTCTTTTTTTCCTCCAACTTCACATCAGTAGATTCTGTGAACCACTAAGACCTCCACTGGCTGTTAATGTTTAATTCTCACAAAAGAGCTATAATAACTTTCCCTCATTTTTCTGACTTCCCCATTGTTTTTTCTTTGAAATTTGAAAACACATTAACTTTCTGAGCAATGCCTAAGAGGAATTCCCACATGGAAACACTAACAACAACAACAGAACAAAGGATGGCAAAGAGGGAAGAAATTAAAGTATACAGTTTATATAATATATATACATACACATATACACATACTGTTGAAAGGTTCTTACACTATACATGAATATCACATTATGTGAGGATACACCATGGTAAATTAAAGATGTATAATATAAACAGCAGGATTTTTCCACAGTGGCACCATTAACATTTTGGGCCAAATCATTTTTTTTAAACCTTATCACCTTGCTGGCTAACACTGTATCATTTTAGAGGATTCAGTGAAATGTAAAAAAGTAATAAAAATCTGAACAATGGCTATAAATTAAAGTTGGAGTTTTGTATTGGTAATAATACAAATAAATACTTCTTAGTTTTCAATTCACTTTCAGAACTACATGTGAAAAAATCAGGCCTAAATATGATTTAGATAATAAAAAATGACCAATAAAGATGTTAGTTCTCAGAACTATTTCTGGCTCTAAAAAGATGTGTGTAAGGTTGGGTTTCCAAAGTTATTCAGATAGTAGGATCAATGTCACCATGTTAAATGATAGAAACTGTGAGTATCAAGACTTCCATTTCAAAGACAATAGGTAAAAAGAAAATGAGTCTTTTGTGTGCATAGTAACATGTCATCGGATAAGAAAATGAAGAACTAACATATACGAAGTGCTCTATTACCAAGAGATATTAATAAGCATCAGAGTCTATATTACAAGGATATTTATATTATCTTAAATATGAAAAATGCATGAGTTAAGAATAATTTTCCAGAAATGTTTCCCATATTTTTACACAGCGATACTAATGAGGAATCTGTGAAAATTTGACAGCCTCTGAGCCTTTAAGTATACTTTAAGCTCTGGAGTGGAAAACTCAAAATCAATACAACACTCAAGTGTTAAAATTTGTTGAGTGAGTTTGCTTGTGAGTTTGTCATTTTGGTCATTATTTAAACTACTATTCTATTAAACATTAAGTAAATAAAAGTAAAAGACTTTGATAGAGAGGTTGAGTGGTAGAAACAGAACTGGAATCTTTCTGAAGACAAGTAACTTTCAATTAACTCTGTGCTACCATGCTGTCTCCCTATCAAAACTAAGTACAAAAGAGTAAAGGTGTTAAGTGCCTCAGATGGAATGCCTATGTCATAGTTAATTACATCACCTAGAATAGATTCCAAGACAACCTGCATATAGTAGGTAATCAGTAACTTTTTGTTGAGTAAGTGAAATACTGGGAAGCATCTCTGAGTTTAAATGGAAATAAAAATTTATACGAAGTATTTAAGGAGGTGTCAAAGACAGAATCAAAGTATTCAAGTAAGTTTTAGAAAATAAAACAAGATTATTTAAATACTTTGGAGATCTTGAAAGGGAACTTAATAGTTTTCAAATCCATCAGATAGCTAGTGGTAAGTACTCAGTGTCCAGTTGGCCTCAAGTGTAACATATGAAATGAAACAGAGCTAAGAGAAACTGGGATTCAACAATGTTTAAGTAAGAAACAAATGTAGTAATACTAATTAACACAAGTTCAGAGATGAGACAGTGTATTAGTTTTCTATCGCTGCTAAAACAAATTCTCACAAATTCATTAAGAACTAAAAAGCATAAGTTTATTATCTTACAGTTATATAAACATTAAGTCAGGTGTGGGTCTCACCAGGTTATAATCAAGGTGTCCATCTGGACTATATTCCTATCTAGGTTTTAGGGAGGATTCTTTTCTTTGTTGTCAGAATTCAATAACCAGCAGTTGTAGGACTGAGGTCTCCATTTCCTTGCTGGCTAAGGGCACTTCTCAACTTCTAGAAGTTACCTACATTCCTTGGCTCATAATCATCTTTCATCTTCAAAGCCAGCAAAGGCAGGATGAATTCCTCTCAAATCTCTTTTCTTTTTTTCATTTTCTCTCTGATCCATTCTTCTGTCCACCCTCTTCTTTTTTATAAAAGCTTCTGTGATTAAACTGGGCCTGCCCAGATAACCCAGGATAACTACCATTCTCCAGGTCTGTGACTTCAATCACATCTGCAAAGTCCTTTCTGCCATGTAAGGAAACATGTTCCCAAGTTCTGGGGATTAGGATGTAGACATCTTTGGGGGAGTACTATGCTGTTCACCACAGGAAGATTCTGAACTTAGTTCCTCAATGATATTAGGAACTCGTCCCCCCCCGCCCCAACTCTCCAGTCTGGTGTATACAGCTTTATTTTTATCCATGTCTGGCTCCCCTCATGGTCATAAGAGGGTTGTCAGCAGCAACTAGGCCTACAGGTTTCCTTACAGTCATCAGGAGAGACAGAGACTTCACCTTCCCAGGATTTCCAAACAAGTCTCATGTTGTGTTCTACTGAACTATGACTAAGCTTACACATCAGTAAGCCAATAAACCAGAGGAATTGAACAAAGAATAGATTAGACTATGAAAGATGATCCAGAATTGTCAGGAAAACTGCAGTCTACCACAGTTGACTCATGTGCCTACTTTTTATACACACCCTTCTTTCAACACATACTTTCAAAAATGCTCATGCCCACACAAAGCACTTTCAACCTACTACATAAGAAGGGAACAACCTGAAGTCTCATCCAATTACTACATCTAACTCCAGATCCATGTGATATGCTTTCATTTCCAATAGGTCTAGATATAGATCTATACAACAAATATCCAATTAGCAACACATGGCTAAAAGTTTAAATTATCTACACCCAAAATACAATAGTGGAGAAAAAACCAGAATAATAAATCTGCAAAGTGAAGAATGACAACAATGGTCAATGCTAACTGGTCCTTAGCACGAGTATATCCTTTTGAAAAGTAATAGCTGGGATTCCTTACTCTCAAAATTCCAAAGACTATTAACCCTTGTAAGAGATCTTTTGACAGTTGCTGAGACTAAGAATTTTTGCCTTCTGGCAACAAGCCTCTGAGACCTCCTCATTACCAAAGACCCCGAATCTACAATGGTCTTCACTTACTAGATTTCCATTTGAAATTATCCATTTCTTTCCCCAGATTTCATTTAAAATACAGTCATGCATGGCACGAGACATTTCTGTCAACAAATATACAATGATGCTCTTGTAAGACCACAATGGAGATGAAAAATTCCTCTTGCCTAGTGACTTCTTAACCACCATAACGTCTTGCTGTATTCCTCTTGTGTTTGTCATGATGCTGGTATTAAAAAAAAACTTACTGCACTGTCAGTCGTATAAAAGTATAATACAATTATGCATAGTACATAGTACTTGATAATAATAATAAATGATGTTACCGGTTTATATATTTACTATATTATACTTTAAATTGTTATTTTTTAGCAATTAAAAAAGAAACTGTAAAACAGTCTCACGTAGGTCCTTCGAGAGATATTCCAGAAGAAGGCATTGTTATCATAGGAAATGACAGCTCTATGTGTGTTACTGGCCTGGAAGAACTGCCAGTGAGACAAGATGTGGAAGTGAAAGACAATGATACTGATGATCCTGACCCTATGCAGGCTTAGGCTAATGTGCGCGCCTTAGTTTTTAGTTAAAAAGTCCAAAAAGTAAAAAGTAAAACTGAAAAAAGCTTACAGAATAAGAATATAAAGAAAATATTTGTGTACAGTTGTACAGTGTGTTTGTTTTAAGCTAAATGTTACTACAACAAGAGTCAAAAAGTTAAATTTTTAAATTTTATGAAGTAAAAAAGTTACAGTAAGCTAAGGTATTAATTTATTATTAAAGAAAAAATATGTTTTACAGATTTAGTGCAGCCTAAGTGTACAGAGATTATAAAGTCTATAGTAGGGTACAGTAATATCCTAGGCCTTCACATTCACTCACCACTCACTGACACACCCAGAGCAACTTCCAGTTCCGCAAGTTCTACTAATGTAAGTGCCCTATATGTTTTTTACCTTTTATACTGTATTTTTACTGTGCTTTTTCTATGTTTAGATTCACAAATACTATTGTGTTACAACTGCCCACGGTATTCAATGAAGTAACATGCTGTACAGGTTTGTAGCCCAGGAACAATAGGCTATACCATACAGCCTAGGTGTGTCTACACATATAGGTTTGTGTAAATACACAAACCAGATGCAGTGGCTCATGCCTGTAACCCAGCACTTGGGAAGTCTGAGATAGGCAGATTGCTTGAGCCTAGGAGTTTGAGACCAGCCTGGGAATATAGTGAGACCTGTCTCTACAAAAAATTTTTTTTAAAAATTAGCTGGGCATGGTGATATGTGCCTGTAGTCCCAGCTACTTGAGAGACTGAGGTGGAAGAATCATCTAAGTCCAGGAGGTTGACGCTGTGGTGAGCTATGATCATGCCACTGCACTCCAGTCTGGATGACAGAATGAGACTCAGACTCAAAAATAAAACAATAACAACACCACCACCACCACCACCTCTCTATAATATTTGCACAGCAACAAAATCACTAACAATGCATTTTTCAGAACGCATCCTATCATTAAGCAACACATTACTTTACATTATATTTTATAAACCTGAATAGTTCCACTTAACAGGCAGAAAATATTTAAAAGGGGGTATTTAGGAAAGATCTAAGCCAACAGATTTGTTTTTTACCACATTCTGATCTTCTGTTAAATATTGTTCCTTTTATACTCATACTCACACTAACTTTGCAAAAGATGAATTCTCTACTTCAAGTTAATCTTGCCAAGCTGAACTGTGAAACTAGGCCACAGACAAAACAGACCTTTTTTGAATCAAATCTAAATTTTCTATGATTTACAAAATGATCTTTCTTGAGTCTAAGCAGGAAATGGTCAAGGCACTTTGACATTCTGAGGTTTTTTGTACAATTTCCCCCCAAATTGTACAAAATTGTACATGCATACAAACTAAGTAGCCTCATAAAACTCTTAGTTTCTACCCCAAGGTTGAGATTGTCCCAACTTCCTACCTGGGCAGTGGTGGTCCTTATTGCCCTCTTCCCTTGAATTCAATTCATACATTAGAATCTCTTACTTGCAAGTACACCTTTCCCAGTACCAAATTCAGTTCAAGTACAGAAACTCATTCAAAACTGACTTAAGAATAAAATCAACTTCTCATAACAAGAAGTTCCTAAGTCAGGCAGCCTTCATCAAAATTGATTCTGTGACTCCAGAGGTCTTCAGGGATCCAGGTTGGTTTTTCTAATCTCTTTGCTGTCAGTGGCTTTAGGGTCATCCTAACAGTAGTCTCATTATTATCACAAGAGTGCTGCTGCTATCTGTAGCTGAGAAAGCAAGCTTTCTTTTATTCACATCAGATTGGCTTCTCTTTCCCAGAGAGTCCCAAGTCAAACTTTCCTTAGTATGTCACTGATCCAAGATAGCTTAGTTCTGCCCACCTTGGAACCAATCACTGATAAAGTGGATGAAATTATGGGTGGCTCAGATGACACATCTGGGGGTACAATATAAATTGAGGTAATAAGTAAAAATTCAAATACAGTACCAAATTGGAAACTGACAATGTTGAAAATTATATCCTTTTACATAAATTTGAAATGTTTTAAAGTTATTTTTTTTTTTAAAATGGGCCAAACTGACACAAAAAGGCAACTGACTTAAGGAGAATTGAATTCAGTTTCTCTCTACCCACCAAGGTCAGCTTAAATTTCTTAACTCTTCAAAACATCTCTTAAGATTCTTAGGAAGAATAGTCAATCCCTCTGCTATACACCTGTATCTTTATTATAACATATTATTTTATATATAGCAGTATGTCCTTTCTACTAGAATGTAAACTCTTTAGGGTTGAGGAGAAAACTTTATTCATTTTTCTCTGTGGGTAATGGGGCTATCAAATAACAATGTCTGATATAGTAAGCACCAAAACGTTCAATGAGTGACATATACACAATGTTTAAATTGTGCTTTTGCTGATTTCATACTTAAAAAGGGGCAGATAGAACGTAGATAAAAATTAGAGACTGGTTTCTTTATGGAGCTATTTGTTTCTCCTGAGACTGCAGATTTAAAAACTTGTTATTTTCTCCAAGGAAAGTGATGAAAATAAAAGTCAGAGGCAGTCAATGTAATTAACACTTTCCTTTTTCATCTCTCCACTTTATTATTCTCTTCTGCTAACCATGCTGTTTATTTTTCCTTTTATATTCATTTCTACCTGTGCCTTAAGGCTACTTCCTAACATCACTGATTTTTAAAAATGAGATAAAATTTTAACTTAATTTGACACATAAGCACCCACTGTGCTGCCAGACTCACTTTTACGCTATGGACATAAAAACAAAATTCACAGGATTGTAGGAAGACGAGACACAAACCAATATATTGTGCTAAGAGCTACAAAAGGAGCATAAAGTACTATGGGAAATAAATGAGTTTTTGCCTAACTGGACAAATAGCTAAGAAAACAATAAATCAGATACCTGTTGGTCATTTAGAATGTTCTAATGTGTCCTATATTATTGGACAGTTGTTCTAACCTTTCTATAATATTACCAAAGGGAAATAACCAGTTGAAAGGACAAAATTTTAAAAGTCCAAAGGAACCAATATCATAGAACAGTGCCAGAAATTCACTTTTGATCAACTTCTTTCAATCTGGAAGTGACAATGTATACCTAGTCATTTTTACCTACAAAGTCATGTTTGTTTGTTTTTTTTGAGAAAAGATAATATGCTACAATGAATTCTGTCATCTTGCCTATTCCAAATCTCCAAACTGATACCAAGTGTGGCAGCATATTTGAATCAAGAAGATTTGACTTTAGAACAAAAAAAGAAACCAAAACATTTCAAAATGAGTTCTACGTTGGATCTATCACGTTATATTTAGGTTTTAAGTTAAACATGTAAAATGGTAAAAAAGGCAAGTCCAGAATAAAAATGCTAAACTAAACTCTGCTCATTTATAAATATGAAAATAAATATAAATTTTATAAGCATTCAAAATCCTTACAACGAGTACTTTAAATATTCTTATTCTTTTTTTAATCAAACAACAATTGTGTAATGTGCTTTCCCAAAAAGCTGAAGAGGTCTTTCAAAAAATTAAGTGTCAGAAATAGTGGCATCAACTCAGAGTGATTCCAATGAACTAGTTAGAAAAAGCTAAATATAATCCTCCCAAATTAAAACATTAACTAAATCTCTTAAGGATTGGATTTCAGAGGAAAAAAGTTACATTTTTATTACTTTCACCACTGTTTTACATCATTCAGGAGGTACTAGGGATCTAAAAATAGCTGTTTAATAAATGTGCTGATGTATGGCTCTGAAAAATTTATCAAGATTGAAAAGTTGAGAGAGGGTGTCAAATCTGACTACATTAATGTGTAAATCTTACTAATCAAACCTCACACTTAAGATTTCAATGTTACAAAAGGCTGTGAGAAGGTAACAGAATAATGATCTGTACTTATTTTCTTAGTAATACCTATCAAATCTCAAGCAGTATAAATAAATTAGCTTAAGACTCCATAGTAAAAACAAAACAAAATCTCAAACTTGTTGCGGTCATAGTAACTTACCTCTTAGTAGTAAAATTTTTTTCCAGCTCCTCATTGTGAACAAGTTTTGTATCCCCAAACTGCCATGATAACTGGAGGTCACAGCTTACATTAAGCCTGCACTGATTAAGAGTATCATGTATAAAACCATATTCTCTGGTATCAGTGCAGCAAGATGACAAGTAAACTAAAGATAAGGAAAAACAAATATTTGTGTTTAAAATGACACTGCATATCTGTACAATGACAAATGTATATTTGATGTAAGTTACAAAACAACGAAGTGCTTGGAATTTTCATTAACGGCTGAGAGTCACAATTTATGTTTTAGGTTTTACAACAGTAAAATGGGCTTCTTGCACTAGAGATAAATGAAAATATGAGCCTCGTTATTCTCCACATACATACTAAAGTTCTTAAAAGCTGGCATATAAGACAGTCCTAGAATTTTTAAATTCAGATGTTGAAAGTAACTCTACAATGTGCATCTCACACAAGACTGGTAGTAACTGTTAGTGCATGAATATTTCTTGTATTTCTCAAGCAAATATAAGGCAACCTACATACCATAAAACTATTTGGTTATTTGACTTGCAAAAGTACCAGAGCATGTTTGAAAGCTGTCGACTGATTCAGTGGCATGAGTAAAAAGAAACAGACTTTCTCAAGACAATAAGCATCTCAAGCATTGCTATATTAAATACAGGAATAGAAAGATTAAAAAAACCCTTAAGGAAGATAAGTCAGGGAAAAGCAGGGAGCAAGTAGAGTTGACTCTTGTTATCTGCAATAGTTAGTCTATAAAATTGCCATAAACTATGATATAGTTAAAACTGAACTACTGCTCTCATTGAAAAGGGTTAGGTTCTTGCAAGCACCTGGTAAAATTTGTGATCACTGAAATGCCATTTACATTAAATAGGTTTGTTTGCCAACATCCTTGTAGAAAACAGACTGGTCTCATCAGTGATTTATCAGGTTTATTCTTCCACATAACCATCCTTCTATGTAACATTGACCAGGTAATTTAAAAATTCTTCCCTAACATACCGATTTGCAGAATCCACATGCCTGCAAGTTCAACAATCTTCATGTCGTATCACCTTTTGAAATGTATGAGCCAGCCGGGCTCGGTGGCTCAGCCTGTAATACTGTGCCTTTGGAGGCTGAGGTGAGTGGATTGCCTGAGCCCGCAGACTTGAGACCCGCCTGGGCAGCGAGACCTCATCTCTACAATAAGTCAAAAAATCAGCCGGGCGTGGTAGCGCATGCCTGTAATTCCGGCTACTTGGAAGGCTGAAGTGGAAGGGTCGCCGGAGCCCAGCAGTTCGAGGCTGCAGTGGCCGGGAGCGGCCACTGCACTCCAGTCTGGGCGACAGAGTGAGACTCCAGCTCAAAAAAAAAAAAATGTATGAGCCAGTCAGTACTAGCCAATCAGGGTTTAACATTTTCCTGACCCTGGGTAATATGACCACAAGTTTCTCTAATCTCAGAACAACACTGCGCATCATGCTTGTTTATCAGTAGGCATCTCAAGAACCTATAATGTAGTCATTTTTTTATAGCTTCACTAGGCACTACAGATGTTACTTTAGCACTTTCTGGTAAGGCCTGATGTAGAAATTGGCAAATTTCTTCTTCCTTTTCCTAGATACCTCACTGTTGATGCATTAACATTGAAGTCAAGCATGAATGAAGCTTATCTAAAACATATTTTCTCTTTAAGGCAATGATAATTTTCTTGAGCTTAAGCACCAAATCACACTTCAGCATTATCTTGGGGGCCATTTTAAACAGTGAAATCACCAAAAAAAATGTGAAAAAAGTAGCAATAACTAAGACTATGAAAACAACATTTAGTGTAGTATGAGAGCTGAAACAAGAAGGTGGAGCGTCACCTCATTTGACCTTAGCTGGAAACATGTGCACTGACAAACTAAAATTTTCAGCCACTATACACATGTCTGCAAAAGTATTGCTGAGTATCAATTTTGGACTTATAAACAAAATTGTGCTGGTGAGTATACTGAATGTGAATTTTAACAAGTAGCAAAATTTGCAAATACAAAATCCTCAAATAACAAGAACTGATTGCACATAAGGTTAAAGGCAATTTCCATATAGATGAATCTAATTACAAACAATTGTTCCTTGTATTGTCAAACTAGTCAGTAGAATAAATTAATATAAAGATGAAACTAATACGAAATATTACAACCAGCTGATTTTCAATAACTCATTCTTCCTCTTCTTCATATTTTTAATTCTTTTACTGACTCTCCACCAAAATTAATTTTGACTAGATTCAAAGTAATCCCAATACTTTGGGAGGCCAAGGTAGGAGGATCACTTGAGACCAGGAATTTGAGATCAGCCTGGGCAACACACAGAGACCCCATCTCTACAAGAAATTAATGTTGATTTTAATATTCATAACAAGTATGGTAAATTTTGAGAGTTTCATAACAACATAATTCTGCAATGTGTCTGTTAATTTTATTTAAAAACAAATATAAATCCACAAGAAGTTACAAAACTAGTACCTAGATGTCCTGTGTAACTTTAAGTCAATTTCCCCAGTGGAAATATCTTACAAAACTATAATCCAATATCAAAACTCGGAAAATGATAACGGTATAATCCACAGACCTTACTAAGAGTGTGTGTACGTGTGTAGTTCCTTGCAATTTGTCACATGTGTAGATCGATGTAATAACTGCTACAAGATTCAGAACTGCCTCATCACCACAAAGATCTCCCTTATGCCACTCCTTTATATATTATGCATACCATTCCTCTGTCCTGTCCCTAAGTATTAGAAATGTGAAAAAAGTAGCAATAACTAAGACTATGAAAACAACATTTAGTGTAGTATGGGAGCTGAAACAAGAAGGTGGAGTGTCACCTCATTTGACCTTAGCTGGAAACGTATGCAACTGACAAACGAAAATTTTCAGCCACCATACACGTCTGCGTCACTTCACTTGACCTTAGCTGGAAACGTATGCACTGACAAACGAAAATTTTCAGTCACTATACACAGCACCATTCCTCTGTCCTGTCCCTAAGTCTTAGAAATTACTAATCTGTTCTCCATCTCTATACTTGTTTCAAGAATATTTTGTAAATGGAATATTGTAGTGTGACCTGCAGAAATTGCATTTTTTTTCCACTTAGCACATTGTCCCTGACACCCAATCAAGTTGTTGTGTACATCAGCAGATCATATCTTTTTATTTTTCCATAGTATTCCATGGTATGAATGTACCATAGTTTAACCATTCACCCAAATTTGAGTGGTTGTTATTGACTATCACAAATAAAGCTACTATGTACACTCATGTACAGGTTTTTGTGTGGACATAAGTTTTCATTTCCCAAAAATAAATGCCCAAGAACATGATGATGGTCATACGGTGTGACCAGTTGCATGTATAGTTTGTTTTTTAAGAGACAGGATCACACTGTGTTGCCAGGGAAGCCTCAAACCCTTTGGCTCAAATGATCCTCCTGCTTCCACCTCCCGAGAGCTGGGACTACAAGTGTATGCCAATGCACCAGAGATTGTTTAGGTTTTAGAGAAATTGCCAGTTTTCCTGAAAGATTATCTTTCATTTCCACTGGAAATATTTGAGTGATTTGTTTTCTCCACATGCTCACCAGCATTCAACACCATTACTGTTTTCTTTTTTAGTTGTTCTAACAGTTTTATCTCATTGTGGCTTTCATATGCATTTCCTTAATGGCTATGATCTTGGACATCTTTTTATGTTTATGTGCCGTCTGTGTATTTTCTTTGGTGAAAAGTCTGTTCTTCTCTCTTTCCTATTTTTTTAAAAATTGGACTGCCTCTCTCTCTGAGTTGGAGTGTGCTGCCAATGCAGCCTTGTCCTGTTGGGCTCTGGCGATCCTTCCACCTCAGTTTTCCAAGTAGCTCGAACTACAGGCACGTGTTACCATGCCTGGCTAATTTTTTGATTTATTGTAGAGATGAGGCCTAATCAAGTTGTCCAGGCTGGTCTCAAACCCCTGAGCTCAGGCAATCCTCTCGCCTTGGCCTCCGAAAGTGCTGGGATTACAGGCTTGAGCCACTGTACCTGGCCTGCCTCTTTTTTAACCACTAGGTTTTGAAAGTGTTTTATCTGTTCTAGAAATGAGTCCTTGATCAGAAATATGATTTTCAAGTGTTTTCTCCCATTCTTAGATTTTCTTTTCATCTTTCTAACACAGACTTTCACAGAGCAAAAGTTTCTAATTTTAAGAAAGCCCAGCTGGGCTCAGTGGCTCAATCTGTAATCCCACGCCTTCAGGAGGCTAAGGTGAGTGGATTGCCTGAGTTCGAGACCCGCCTGGGCAGCGAGACCTCATCTCTACAATAAATCAAAAAATCAGCCAGGCATGGTAGCGCATGCCTGTAGTTCTGGCTACTCGGAAGGCTGAGGTGGAAGGATCGCCAGAGCCCAGCAGGTAGAGGCTGTGGTGGCTGGGAGCGGCCACTGCACTGCAGTCTGGGTGACAGAGTGAGACTCTAACTCAAAAAAAAAAAAAAAAGAAAGCCCAACTGATTTTTTATTTTTTTATTTTTAATAGATTGTGCTTCTGGTGTCATATCTAAGAACTCATCTAGGCCAAGATCCTGAAGATGCTATCCCATGCTTTCTTCTAAAAGTTGTAATGGGCCGGGCTCAGTGGCTCAACCTGTAATCCCAACACTTTGGGAGGCTGAGGTGCGTGGATTGGCTGAGCCCATGGGTTTGAGGCCAGCCCAGGCAACCTGGCGAGACCTTACCTCTACAATAAAATAAAAAATTAGCCAGGCATGGTAGCGCATGCCTGTAGTTCTGGCTACTCGGAAGGCTGAGGTGGAAGGATCGCCAGAGCCCAGCAGGTAGAGGCTGTGGTGGCTGGGAGCGGCCACTGCACTCCAGCCTGGGAGACGGAGTAAGTCTCCAACTCAAAAAAAGAAATTAAAAGTTTTAATGCTGCATATTTTACATTCAAGCCCAGGGTTTATTTGGAAGTTTTTTTTATATGAGTGCAGTTCATTTTTTTTTTTTTTTGCCTATGAATGTCCTATGTCCTATGAATGTTGTTCTAGCAACATTTCATATAGACTACCTTTCCTCCAATGAATGCAACTTTGTTAAAAATCAATGGAAAGAAAATCAATTGAGCATATTTGTGTGG